TGAGGCCTAACCAGAGCAGAGTAGAGCGGAAGAATGACTTCTCGTGTCTTGCTCACAACACACCTGTTAATACATCCCAGAATCATGTTTGCTTTTTTTGCAACAGCATCACACTGTTGACTCATATTTAGCTTGTGGTCCACTATAACCCCTAGATCCCTTTCTGCCGTACTCCTTTCTAGACAGTCTCTTCCCATTCTGTATGTGTGAAACTGATTGTTCCTTCCTAAGTGGAGCACTTTGCATTTGTCTTTGTTAAACTTCATCCTGTTTAACTCAGACCATTTCTTTATCGTTCTCAGTAGAGGACACACCTTTGTGCTTGGGGTCAAACAGCCCAGTGGCTTCCAGAATGGTGACTTGCTCTTAAATGCTTACAGGGACATATTATGAGCGACAGTAGCACCCCACTTCTTTGACAGCTCTTTGTGACAACGTGGAAAGCGTGTCTGAGTGGATCCTGCCTGCTGACTGGGAAAATGGACATGAAAAGAAGGGTTTTCCTGCAGTGTCCGCAGAAGTGCTTTTGTGACTAAGTTCTACACATACAAGGGGGCACTGGTGTGACAAACGAGTGTGCAAACCGCTAGCCTAGCAGGGCTCCCAGACCCGGAGAGCAGCGCGTCTGTGCTGCCTGCCGCTGGCACCTGGGCAGCGTTTCCCTGGTGGGCACTGCCCCGAGCGGTTGGTAGCAACTCACCCGGACACCCCAGTACCCCAAGGTGTGTCAGCCCCCTCCAGGCCCATGCGCCCCCCCTGACCCTGCAGGGCCAGTGCAGGGCGGCAGGCAGGATTTTGGGCTAATAGCCACGGGGCCTTTGCCAGCCCTGCTGTGGCCCCCCCACCAGCCCCAGCCCCAGCCCCCAGCGCTGCGACCCTGACCCCTCACCTGGGAAATCCCCTCTATGCCCTGGGTGGGGGGCGGCTGCTGCTCCCCGCGGGCTCCCCACGCCCCGGCCCGCCCGGGTGTCAGCTGCGCCCGTCACCGAGGCATCGGGGCGGCTGATGGGGGCGGGGAGTCCCCGCTCGGCCCCGGCGCTTCCCCGGGCGGGGCGGACCCGGAAGCCGCGGCAGGTGCTGGGCCCGGCCGGCATGGAGGCGGCCCCGGCCCGGTACCAGGCCCGCTACCAGCGCCTGGGGGCCAGCGACAGCGACGGGGAGGAGGCGGTGGAGCTGCGGGGCGGACCGGACCGGTGAGTGCGGGCGGACCGGACCGGACCGGAACGGAGACCAGCTCCGCCCGCAGGTCCCCGGCAGGTGCCGCCTGCCCCCCCCCCCAGCCCCCGCCTGGCCCCATAACCGCCCCCTACTCCCCCGGGGCCCCTTAATTCCCGGAGCCGCCCCCGGCCCCACACGTGCCAGCTGCAGGGGGGCTGCGTCCTGCCCGGCCCGACGGCCGCCCTACACCGGCCGGTACCGGCTGGGGGGCCAGGCTGGCTGGGCAGGGCCCCCCCGTCAGAGACCGGCTCCGAGCCGGGTCCGGGTCACACGCCCCCTTGGCCAAGGGGGGTTATGGGGAGCGGGGGTGCCAGTGCCAGTGTTAACGCGGGGGGGGGGCTGCTGCCACCCCAGCGCTCGGCCCGTTACCAGGTGCCAAAGACGAGTCACTGACGGGGGCACCAGTGGGCACAGCCTGCGCCCGGCCCATGCCCCCTTCCCCTCACGCCCGGCCCATCCCCCCTGCCCCCCACGCCCGGCCCCGGCTTGCCCGCATTGCCCCCAGGGGCCGACAGGCTCCTAGGACCCCCACGGGGCCGGGCTCCCCTCCAGCACAGGGACTTTCGGCCCAGGTGAGGCGCTCGCGGCAGCACGGGCGTGAGGGGCTTGTCAGACCTGGGTGGACCCCAGGAGCTGCCCTGGGACTCGGGGGGCCCTGGGAGATCCCGCCTGGCTCAGTGGAGCGAGCTGGGTTTTTAATCAAACATTAACCCCGCTCGAGGATTGTGCTGGCGCCCCATGGGGGCCCCTCCGCCAGCAGGGGAAGGGGCCGCGCCCCTGAGTGCTGGGGGCCAAGGGGCCAGTTCCCCCTGCCCAGGGACGGCGCTGTTCCCTCGGGATGGCGACACAGCCGAGGCCGGGGAGGGAGAGGTCAGTGCCTGGGACTGGCCCGGCGCCACGGACACCGACTGCAGCTCTGGGGCCGCGGGCTCCCAGCGAGAGAAACCCCGTCCCTCGGCCAGCGCTGGCTCTGCCCGCCGGTGCCCCTGGGCCCATGGGCTGTGCCGAGTCAGGGCCCTAACCCCGCAATGGAACCGCTTGGCCCAGAGCCCGGGCACAGGGGTCACCCCACTGCAGGGTCTCTGGGCACTGTGAGCAACAGTGCTGGGGATCAGCATGGCTGGCTGGGGGCTGCCCAGAGTACGGGAGGGGGCGAGCTAGGCGGGGCTGGCAGTCGCCCTGCAGGGGAGTGCCTGGGAACGGCGCTGGGGGGCCTGGGCCGTGTGCCAGGCTGGATGACGGTGTGATGCTTCTCGGGGTACCCCAGTCACCTTGTTACCCCTGCCTCCAGCGGGAGGGGGTCCTGCCAGTTCCCTGCCACCCCCAGCCTGGCAGCCCTCCAGCCCTCTCCCTGGGCTGCACCAGCCCTGCCTTTGCCTTGCAGGCTGCCCACAGATCCACCCAGCCCCCAAGACCCTGCAAAGTGTCCCCTGTGGGATCCAGCCCCACACCGGATCCCCCAGAAATTCCACATCCCAGACCTTTCTGGGGTGTTGCAGCAGTGGACAATGGAGCAATACGCTACAGCACGGGCCAGCCGGGAAGGGGTGACAGCACCGGGACACGTGTTTCCCTGGCGTCTCGCTTTCGCTCCCAGACCATAAGGGCATAATTCTCAACAAAGTTACCTTAGCCCTTAAATCTCGCCCGCCGCGGGCACGTCTCCCAGGGCCCGAGTGTCGACACGTCACCTCGCCTGCTGCCCTTTGTGACAAGCTCCATGGCAGTGGGGTGTGAGCTGCAGCGAGGGTGTCAGACCTGAGGCTGGACAGCGAGCCCTTTGCAGCTGGCACTGACGGGCCCGTGTCCCAGACGGGCGCTGGCCCTGCCGGAAGCTACGTGGCTTTGCCAGACGCTGGGCACTGTTGGGGTGGGACCAGACAGGCAGCCCGAGGGAGCTGCAGCGGGAAGGGCCTGGGCCAGGGCCCCGTGTCTGCCCCAGCGAGGTGCCGGCTGTGCTGCTGGGCGCGCTCAGCCCAATGGCAGGGAAGAGGAACGTGTAACACACAACACCCCGGGCCCCATTAGGATCAGGCCCTTGGCCTCAGGGGAGGGGCCTAGCCAGAGGGGGATGGGGACATTGGCTCAGTTGGCCCCTCCCCGGGCCTGGATTCTGGTCGTGTGGCTGCCAGGCCCAGCTCCCCCCTTCCCAGACTGCACCAGGTGTGAGGCACCTGCGTGGGTGCAGATCGAGTGGCCTGCTCCAGCCCCTGCCCCACCCCTTGTCTCGTCCTCCCTGCCCCCTTGGCACCAGGAGCCCCCTCCCGCTCAGCCCCTCCGAGCTCTGTAAGCCCCTGGCCTTGGCTGCAGCGCAGCTCCTGGCGGGGGGCCCAGACCCCAGCGGGCTGGTGAATTTGGCTGTAATCCTATTATGGGAGCTGAATGGGCCTCACTAATCCCATTAGGTGGCAGCAGATCTCCCGCTTCCTTCCAGCCCTCCTGGGGCGGGGAACAGGCTGGCGAGTGGCGGCTTGGCTGGTTACTGTCTGGAGCTGGCTGCAGGGAGCCCTCGGGAGCTGGGGGCCGCTGCGGTGCCCTGGACGGGCGTCCCCCAGCGCTAGTGACGTGTCGGGAGGCGCTGGGGTCCCTGTGCTGTTCCAGGGACAGGCCCCACCCCCACCGCTTGGCATCCCCGGCCCTGGATGGGGGCGGGTGGAGCCAGGTGGAGTGTCCAGCCGAAGTGACCTATGGCAGCGGGCACACGGGTGCCGGAGCATGGGCAAGGCCCCCCCACCCAGGGTGTCTAGCTGGGCCCTGGGCACCTGGGGCTTTGTGTGCGGCACTGAAGGTCCCACCAGCCTCACCTCCCCCAGTGAAAGGGGCGCTGGGCCAGGCTGGGTCGCGCTGGCTCCTGGGGCCGCAGCGCCCCACCCTAGCCATGCTGGGTGGAGTTTGGGGGGCGTTTGGAGCCACAGGGAGGCTCCTCGACCTGCAGGACTCCTGCCAGGCCAAGCCAAGGCATTTCTCTGGTCAGCTGCGTGCACCTGACCGTGAGCAGAGCATGCTCGGGCGGGGCCAGCGCTGGGCCCTGGGGGAGTGGCACGTGGCCTGGCCTGGGCCGAGCGGGGACGGGACCCTCGCCCCGACAGACCCCGGAGCCTCAGAGCCAGCCCACGTCGCTCCGGTACCCACAGAGAGCCCCAGGCTGAGGAGCTGGCAGAGGGTACTGTAGCCCCCAGGAAGTCTGCCAGCACCTTAGGCCTGACCATACCCCTAGCTGTGCCAGTGCCCTGACCCCCTCCCCCCCGCTATCCCAGCCCTGGGCTCCTC